ACGGAAGGGCAGCAGGGAAATGGGTCTGGACTTGATGGGTGATTGAGTTAAGAGATACAGTCATGAGAAATGGTAACCCAGAGAACATGTCAGAGCTTTGGCTGGGTTAGAGATGGATTGGAACTCATCTGAGGAGAGAAACCAAGAACTGAAGGTGAAGTTTGGGCTGGTGCGAGGCAGGAAGCAGAAAGAGCAACAAAAAATGGCAGAACTAACTTTCTCACTCTGCATCTTAGTGGAAAGAGAACAAAGATGCCCTGTTGGAGAACAGCCAGAAGATCCTGGAAGCTTTGCTACACGGGTCTGAGATCCGTGTGCGGGGCCAGAAGTCACCCCCACCATCCAAAGAAGTGATGACCACCTGTTTCCAGCAGCTCTCCAACTCCTATGATGAGGACTACGGCGGCTTTTCTGAATCCCCCAAGTTCCCCACCCCAGGTCAGTCTGGGCTCTGCTGCTGAGCCCCACCATGGGACTGGCAGTGCCAGGGGGAAGAGCCCACCCCACAGCCTCCCACCTTCTCTCTGTATTTCAGTGAATTTGAATTTCCTCTTCACTTACTGGGCCCTGCATCGAACAACTCCAGAAGGTGCGCGGGCACTGCAGATGGCTTTGCATACCCTCAAGATGATGGCCCATGGGGGCATCCATGACCACATTGGTCAGGTAGGAGGAAAGCTCGGGGGTAGACCCCTGGCATGCCCAGGAGGTGTAGGGTGGAGATGTGGGGTAGAGACATGTAGTGGAGACGTGTTCGCTTGGTCTTTGCAGGGATTTCACCGCTACTCCACTGACCAGCACTGGCACGTCCCTCACTTTGAGAAGATGCTGTATGACCAAGGGCAGCTGGCAGCCACGTATAGCAGAGCGTTTCAGGTACGGCCACAGCATCCCTCTGTGGAGTGGGGCTCACTTGGCACACCATGTGTGGGCTGGAGAGGGCTGGCTTCATTTGGGGAGCAGCTTCAAAACCTGTTCCCCAAGATGTTGCCCATCCTGCGGGCACAGAGCATGCTCCCCTTCATCTGCTGATCTTCATCCAGAAATGCTGCACAAGTCCATGACAGTTTAACCCCATTTTTTTTAGCATAATGAGGGAGGGAACAGCCTCATTATGGCTGGTCTTTGCGAGCCATCAAACGAGTGCTGCTGCCTCTGACCTTGGTGTAACTCCAGGGTTGCTCTCCAGTGCCTGTAGATTTCTTATTCAGAGATCTTCCTCTGAATCCATCCCATATTTTAAAACCCTGGATGTTCGAATGTCATAGAATACAGGGGACCTCAAGGATCATCTGGTCAAACCTTTCTTGGTAGAAGCATGGCAAATCAAAAGCCTGGTCTAGACAAGATGGTCCAGCATCCTGTCCAGCTGAATCTTAAAAGCATCAAATGTGTTTCCCCTCCTTTGCCAGCTCAGAATCTCTTATTGCATCTTGCTGTGTCTCATGCCTCCCCCCTGCCCCTTATAACATTGACATCCACCCTGTGCCTCCTGCAGATCTCTGGTGACAAATTCTTTGCTGATGTCGCCCAAGACATTCTGCTCTATGTCTCACGGGACCTGAGTGACCAGGTAGGTTGTTCCCTGAGCTGGGCCAAAGGGAGCTGCTCACCCTGCCCTTGGATGTGGCTTGGGGCTGCTTTTCCCTCCCTGCCTTCCCAGCTGAGCAGACTGGGGCACTGCTGGGGCTTGCTGCCTGGACTGCCAGCCCAGCAGTGGTGAGGAGCTGGATGAAGGTGGTGTCCCAGTAGCAGGAGAGTCTCTCTGCTGCTCTTTTCCCAGGCAGGAGGTTTCTACAGCGCAGAAGATGCTGATTCCTACCCGACCACCGTGTCTGGAGAGAAGCGGGAAGGAGCTTTCTGTGTGTGGGCAGCTGAGGAAATCCGGGCTCTCCTTCCTGACCCTGTCGAGGGGGCCACAGAGGGGACAACCCTAGGAGATGTCTTCATGCACCACTATGGAGTGAAGGAGACCGGCAACGTGAGCCCGATGAAGGTGAGAGAGGGCAAAGAGCTGCCCAGTACTGGGAGCATTGGTGGGGACCCACACCCCTGGGTGTGTGAGGATGGCAGAGCATCCTGAAAACACACGGGGTTCAACCCCTCCTCAGCCTGGCAGTGTTCATAGAACGGGGCTCTCCTTTCAGGACCCCCATCAGGAGCT